GGCAGGGGGTGGTGGCAGGGGGTGGCAGGTCCCTGGCTCACCAGGTGTCTCCTCTCTTGCAGGGTGCGGGGCGGCAGCGCCCGCAGGAAAGCCCAGACCATGCTGGCCTGCCTGCAGAGGACTCAGAACCCCCCAGCCCAGCACCTCCCCTGCCCCAACAAGGCGCTGGAGCCACGCAAGTGTAAGTGCCTGAGGGCGGGCGCCCGCTTTGATGCTGTTTTCCTTATTGAAAAAGACATTTATTTAACCGATAATTAAAAAGAGCAGGAGAAGCGGGGAGGAGAGGGGGAGGAAGGAGCCAAGATAAGCAAATTAAATTGGGTTCTGTGGTTGATAAGTCCAACTTCAGCAAACGTTGCAGAGCTGCCTGGGAAGCGTGGCGGCGGCAGAGGATGGTGCAGTCGGCCCCCCAAACCTCCCCAGCCCTTCCCCCCCTAATTACTTTCCCCGTTTTGTCGCAGCTCGCCTTCCCCAGGAGCTGGCCTTTCAGATAAGCTGTAAACTAGTTACATTAAAATGGGATCCAAAAGGTCACTCCGGCAGAGCACCTGTCTCTCCCAGCCTTTGTCTCTCAATCCAAACCGTGATTAAATGTATATTTAATGAGCCTGCTTTAGGCAGGCGTGTTTGACCTCCCCGGCTGGGAAAGACGCATTAAGATTCTCAAGTGATGAATGTGTGTTTTAAAGAGGGGAGTGGATATTTTTCTGCTGGTCTCAGTTGGATTTTTAAACATTGCCGGCTGAAGACAAATCAGCTGCTAAAGCTCTGCTTGTTAGGCTGTGACAGCCCCCGGGTGTTTGTTTAATGAGCTGGATTTTCCCGTAGATGTTTTTTTTTTTCCCCTCTACCTGGGCACCCTGAGCAGCCAGGTGAGCTGGGCATGGGCTTTGGGCAAGCTGGGCGTGGATTTTGGATGATGCTCAGCCTCCCTGGGAGCCCCGGCATCCCTTAAGCATTGCACTGCCAGCCAGGAGGGTTATTTATCCTTGGAAGTTCTTTTATCCCTGGAAGTTCTTTTAATCCTGGAAGTGCTCATGGCCAGGTTGGACAGGGTGTGCAGCAGGGGGAAGTGGGTGATCTCTAAGGTCACTTCCAACACAAACCATTCTGCATTCCATGATTTTTTGTGTGAAGCTCCCCAGTGGCCAGTACAGGGAACAGGACACCAGGGCCAGAGGTGGGGTTTTGGGCACCCAGGTGCAGCTTGCACTGCCCTGGAGCATGGAGTGCCTCCCAGGTCTCCTTATTGGTGTCTGGAAGGGAAAAGGATGCTGCTCTTGTAAAATTATTCATAATCTGTCACTCCTGAGCACCACGGTGGCACAGGGCTGGTGAGAGGTTTCTGGAGCACCTCATTGCCATGGAATGATGAGCTCAGCCGTGCCCACATGGTCTGGGACCCACAGGCAGGATGAGCCTGACAGGGTTTTCTGCAGACTGGAGGTGTTCAGCACTGAGAATCTGTGTGAGCTCATAGTGGTCCTGAGGTCAAAATACAGCTGCTGGTCCCCACAGCATTCCCTGGATGCAGCTCAGAGCTAAGGACTGTCTCAGCTCATGGAACAAAGCCCAGAGGCACCTTTCTGCTGGGGGAGTCAGTGCATTCTAGCATTTCCCACCCTGCCACAGGTGCTGAAATAAGGAGGTTTGGGAAGCAGGAGCCCTCATGTGGTGCCACAAATGGTGCCATGGGTGTGAGAAATGCTCCTGGATACAGCTGCCTGTGTCCTGAGAGGATCCCAACCCCAGGATCCCGGAGTTGTGCCAGTGGGATGAGGGCAGAGGTTTGACCCCACCCCAGATCCTGGTAGGTGTGGGGAGAAAAGAGAGTTTTTGACCGGTCTCACCCCATCCTTCGGGCAGGACCGTGCTCACCTGAGATCTCCAAGAGACTTGTGTCCCCCAGGATGGGTGGCAGCAGCCAGGCTTCCACCCAGACCCCCACGCCACGCTCGCCACCAGCTGCCACCAGCCAGGTCACCTTAATCAAAGTTTAGCTGCCCGTATGTTCCCGCTCATTACGGGCAAATCCGGCACGTCTCGCTCCTCTCTGCCTCCTGCCAGCGCAAATTAAATTGCAGGTGACATCCAGGGCCACGCATCTGGCTTGGAATACAATTTTCCTTTCCTTATTTATGGCACCTGTGGGAAGCACAGTGGAGGGGCCGGGAGCCGGCGCGGGGCCGAGCTCTCGCCACCACCGGAACGCCCGCGCGGGGAATCGGCGCCGAGAGCGCGCTCTTCAAACCAGCCGCAATTTAGAAGTGCCTCTGATTACTTAATTTGCTCCTGAGTATCTCAGTAATTATCTTTATGGGTCTTATTTCTGTCCTCTGGCATTGTTTCTGTCGATATTAAATGAGTCTGGCTCTCGGCACACTGGCTGTCTGGCCCGGCACCACTGTGAAATCCTATTATCCTGCCCACACCGCTGATTAATTTTGGTATTAATTTCACGTAAAAGGTGAGCTGACTCGTTTTCCTGCCCGTGCAGGGAGCTGCAGGCGCCTTCACCCCCTGGTTCTGCCCCTGGCCTTTCCTGCTGATTGTTGTCTCCCCATCTCGGTGCCCCAGTGGGCCCGGAGCATCCCACAAAATCCATCCTGATAAAGCTGGAGGTGACTTTGCAGCTGTTGCCAGCGGTATTCCCAAGGCTGTTCCGTAGGAACCAGGCTGGCGTGCCTTGAGGAGGATGCAGGAAGGTGCCAGAGCCCTTCCAGCCCTGCCTGTGCCTCCTGCCTCCAGCAGAGGAGCAGGAGCCTGCAGAGAGGCAGCAACCTCAGGAAAATATCACGTCCAATTAACTCCAGCAGCCTGGTCCCTTTTGATTTTATCCTGGGTGCATTACAGGAATCCTGAGCTTTATTTAAATTATAAATCAAATAATGCCTCTCTCGGCTTGGCCAAACTCTTTGCTGCTCCCACTCTCAGCAGTCACGGAGCAGTGGATGATATTTAATGAAATGTTGCTTTCCATGTGCCCTCCTCCAGCCAGCCTGGGGCTGGGAGCGTGGCAGGGAGCAGGATGTGTGTCCCCCTAAAGGTGCTGGGAGCCCTGGGGAGTTCACAGAGGTGAACCTCATGAGCATCCTGCATGGCCTACGAGAGAGATGGAGAGGGATTATTTACAAAATAATGGCAGGATGGCATGGGAATGGCCTCATACTGCCAGAGGGCAGGGGTAGATGGGATTTTGGGAAAAAATTCTTCCCTCTGAGGGTGGTGAGGCCCTGGCACAGGTTGCCCACAGAATCTGTGCCCACCCCTGGATCTCTGGAAGTGCCCAGGACCAGGCTGGACAGGGTTTGGAACAACTTGAGATAGTGGAAGGGATGAGCATCCATGGCAGGGATGAGCTTTGAGGGGATGGCCCTAATGAGAGGTGATGGCCAGGGCTCCGTGCCAGGGACACAGCTCCAGGGTCACCCACAGCTCTCCCTGCACCTGTGGGGCCTCTCATCAGTGATAAACCCGTTAATTGCACACGGGATGAGGCCCCGTTTAATGGCTTCTCGTTACCCAATTCTGCTTGTTCCAAGGGCATTTTCATTAGAGTGGCTGCAGCGAGGCTTTGCTTTTGTACACACCCATAAAATATCATTTTAATTTCATGAGGGGTTACACATGAGTGAAGTAAGATTAATTCATTCATTTTCAGTTTCTGGAAGGGATCGGTTAATGATGGTTTTGTGTATTTATATACGTGCCATAAAAAGGAGTTCAATTAACTGCTGGGCCCAGAATGTGCTGTTGACTTGCACTTTCCCAGCCAGGAATCGCTGCAAAAACACTTTCCATCGGTCACGTGAGGAGGGTGAGGTGGGGCTGCTCCGTGCCCATCTCCCCCCAGGTCAGAGCCCTGGATTTGGGGTGGGCTTGGCTGGTAATGGTACAGCACATGAGAAGGTTTGGTTTGTGTCCAAACTTCCCAGGACTGTGATGGTCCATTGGCCACAGAGCAGGTTCCTGGGCACTGGCAGACCCCAGGGTGGGGCACCTTGCTTTGGGCGTGCTTTTCCCACCCTGCTCCCCTCAGCAGGTACAGAACCCGTGTCTTAATTTAATTCAAATGATAATTGGCTGTGGATGAGTGAGCTGAGGGGCTGGGGGCAGCTGGGATGAGCTGCAGGGCCAACAGAGATGGTGGGGTCCCCTCCTGGTCCCGGGCTCCCTCGGAGGCTCTGTGGTGAGATGGCATCAGGATGGCACCAGGGCTTCTGAAAGGTGGCACTGGGACAGCACTGGGGTGCCATTGGGGTGGTGGTTGCGTTGGGGTGGCCTCAGGATGCCTTTGGGGTGGCTTTAGGGCTCTGTTGGCTTCAGATAGGTGGCACTGGGGTGGCAGTTGTGTTGGGGTGGCCTCAGGGCAGCGTTGGGTGACATATGGACGTGACATTGCGGCAGCATCACGGTGGTGAAGCTGAGGTGGCGCTTGAGTATGGTGAGGGTGGCATCGGGGCAGCCATTAGGGTGGCACTGGGGTAGCACCAGGATGGCATTGGGGTGACATTGGGACAGCACCAGGACGGCGTTGGGGCGGCACCGGCGCATCCCCGCGCGGTGGCACGGTGGCACGGTGGCCGGCGTGGCACAGCGCACGGCGCCGGTGCCGCGCTAATACCTCGTGGAGGAGACAAATGGGAAGTGACACGTGTGTGTGTAGACGGGTATTTGTGGTGACGCTTTGACTGCAGATAATAAAGTGCTCGCCCCGAGGTGATCCAATTCAGCAGCCGCCTCGGCAGAGCCGTGCGCGACGAGGGGGAGAAGAAAGGGGAGGAAGAAAGGCCCGTCTGAAATGACATGTCAGCCTAAAAAGGGAACGTGTTAACGGATGAATATCTGGGGACGGCGAGCCCGGCGCTTCCCTTTGTGCTTTGTCATGAATTTTGTTGTCTTTGCAGATTCCGGCGCTGCCGCGCGGGGTTTGCCACCTACGGTTATTCAGATGGATTTCTCCCGCTATTATTGCTGTAGTTGGTTTAATTTAAGCCCCCGGAGCCGGGGCGTGTTTGTCTCGGTTCCTGGCACCGGGGACGCTCCACGCCGGTGCCGGGGGGTTCCGCTGCGGGGACGTGGCGATTTTGGGGACGGCGCAGGGTGCTGGTCACGGGTGGTGCTGTCCCTTCAGGGGGGGCAGGGACCCCCACGGCATCCGCGGCGGCGCGGTGGCCTCTG